CCTGCTGAATGCCAGCAAGGAGAATGCCCACCACTTATCAGTACCTGCTGTGTTTCTGGAGCGTTTCTCTCGATGGAGCTCTCATCTGCTAAACCTTTAATTTTTGTTAAAAAAAGGATCAGAACTCTCTTATTACCCAGCTACAATTAAAAGAGTCACAAAGGGAGCTGGTTTAACGTGTGTACCCTAATGCTTAGCACTTACAGAGGTCTAAAACTTTGACGGATATCAATTAATTCAAACTAACAAATAAATTATATCCAGGATACAGTCATGATGCAACCTTGGTGTACACAGGAAGAAAAAAAAAAACCACTTATTTCAATTTATTCTAATTTAAAATGTGTGAGATGAAAGCAAATTAGATTATAGGAAGTTCCTATTGGTACTATAGGCATTCACATTTAATTTCTTTTACCTTTCTCTGTCTTTAACTGCTTGTTCAGCCATTAATTTTCTTAATTCCTCCAGACGCTGTAGATGTTTCTCTTCCTGTTCCTGCCACTTGAGCTGTTTCTCAGCCCAGTACTTTTTCAGCTAGAGTTTGAACAAATACAGTAAACAGAATAACCATCATTGGCAAGCCAAGGTAGTGAGAACAAATAAGGGAAGGAAAGCATTAACTTAAAGAAAATCCAGTTATGATTTTTTTTAGAATAAAGTTTGTATTTGAGAACAGTATGGGCTAACAAAAGATTCACTAGGAGAACAAGAGGGTGTGGAGCCCGCAACAGAAACAGTAAAATCAGACTGCAGACACTAATTCAAATATAATTTTCAACTGCAAACTGAAGACTACCATTTCCATTTGCTCCTTACTTTCCTGCTCTGCCATCAGAACCTTCAGCTGTGCTGCTGAAGTGAGGGAACGTTCCTGGAGTTAAAGTGTCCCCGGTTAGCCCAAACAGCCGGATCCGTGCCAGCCCTGTTCATTTTGCCAAGGTGGAGAGCCCTGGGGAACAGGGACGAAGCTTGTCCAAAGCTGAGTGAGAAAGGCCTCGAGCAAGATGATGAAACCTGAGCAGGGAGCTTATCTGGACAGATGAGGGTTTTTGGATGCAAAACAAGGAATTGGGATTTAAAGTAAATGCTGCTGAAGTGAAACTCTGAATTCTTCATCTGAATAAATTATACAGGATTCTGTTCCTAAACCAGGGCAGTTCTTCAACGACAACTGGTGGAATTTGCAGCAAGCTTGCAGTTCCCACCTTGCCATGACATATGTTACAAATCACAGAATCATTTAGGTTGGAAAAAACCCTTAAGATCATCCAGCCCAACCATTAACCCAGCACTGCCAAGTCCACCACTAACCCATGTCCCCAAGCACCACATCTACACGTTTCTTGAACCCCTCCAGGGATGGTGACCCCACCACTGCCCTGGGCAGCCTGTTCCAATGCTTGACAAACCTTTCGGTCAAGAAATTTTTCCTAATATCCAGCCTAAACCTCCCCTGGTGCAACTTGAGGCCGTTTCCTCTTGTCCTATCACTTGTTAATGGGGAAAAGAGACCACCACCTCACTGCACCCTCCTTTCAGCAGCTGTAGAGAGTGATGAGGTCTCCTCTCAGCCTCCTCTTCTCCAGACTAAACCCCCCCAGCTCCCTCAGCCGCTCCTCGTCAGCCCTGTGCTCCAGACCCTTCCCCAGCTCCGTTGCCCTTCTCTGGACCTGCTCCAGCCCCTCAATGTCCTTCTTGTGGGGAGGGGCCCAACACTGACCCCAGGATTCGAGGTGCGGCCTCGCCAGTGCTGAGTACAGGGGCACAATCCTGCCCCGGTCCTGCTAGGGCAAGACATTCAGACAGCTCTTCACTGATGCCGTACTGCTGCCGTAAGAAGAGCACTGCAGCAGCGGTACACCTCCCAGAGTTTCCAGGGGTGACTCGAGCTCACCTCCCGAGCCACCAGCCGGCTCAGGAAGCTGACAGAGCAGGTTTTCTTAGGCACAGGAACAAGAATCACCTTCATCTTTGAAGTGCTGACTCCAGATTTTTTAAAAATACAATTTTCAAGAACATCTGAATTACACTGAAACTCAGGACCGTGACTCCAGCGCTGTGTTCCTCAGCCAGGGCCAGGTGAACCGTTCGGGTGCTGGTCACAAACACTGGAGCCACCTCAGCACAGGGTTTGCAGGGATCTCAAGTGGTCATCCGACCCCCACAGTATCACCAGCATCAGTTAAATCATTCCCACCTAGCTAAGACATCCCTGAAATACAAACCTATTTACTTTGCTCCCGAGATAACTGTTACCATTAATTTCCACCAAGTCCCAGCTGCCCTGGTTGGACTGCCAGCAGCTCTGCTCCCAAGAAGCCATCAGTTGGGTATGAGGTACCATAACCTGTAACACGGTACATGGTACAGCACACACGACTCTCCAGCACTTCTATTTGTCAGCTGCATCCACAAGCAGCTGTTGCCTGTCACACTCACAGATAAGCTTCTCTCACTTTGGACACCTGGTAGGGGCAGAGAAATTCGCGTTCCTCTCCTCTAACAGAAAAGAGCTGTTCTGCTCGCAGAGCACAATGCAGGGAACGTCCTCCTGGGAACGCGGCTCTGCAATCCCACAGCGGCACAGCAACATTTCCTGACGATGCTCCACGCAAACGAGGGCCCATGCCACACCGAGCGCAGCTTTCGGGAAGCAGTGCCTGCACGCCCTGTTCAAGCTGGTGATGGCACACAGCAGCTTTCACAGAGGCCACGACACTGTCCTCCAGGGAACTGGAAGCACAAAGCACCACGAATTGGAGTGACCCCGGCCGAGGGGCACCTCCGTCCCTCCAGTGACACGTCAGCTCAGCACACAGCAGCAAAGGCAGATCAAACGTGTCCGGTGCCACGATGCAGCACAAAAAGAACAGGAAAAGACAGAAAATAAGTTGATAGCCCCATGTGGAAGGAACCTTTTCACATGGGAGGAGAAGAGAAACAGAAATGACCAGAGGTTTGCTGTGCTTGTGCGAGTTCCCGCACCGGCGCTGAGGGACCGGGACGGGCTATTCGATGGGGAAGTGACACTGTGGGGGATTGGATGAGAAGCCTACAAACTCACGAGTGTCCAGAGAGACCGGATGGAGATCGGCTCTGCCTCTCCACCAGGAGAGCTGGGAGGCTCCAGAGGCACTGGCAAGAGCCAGGTGTGGACCAGGGAAGAGCCAGCTCTCCGTGCAGTGCGCGGCAGCTGCTGGAGCCCCACGTGTGTCTCGGGAGAGACCGGGCACCTGCCCAAAGAGAGAGCCTCCAGGGAGGGGTCACCGACCTGACCGACCACGTCAGCATCAGGAACGGCTGGAGACAGGGCAGGTGGCTGGGAGGGAGGGACATTGCTGTTCTTTTCCTCTACTGTCACAGCACTGCTGGAGACAGAAGAGAGGGCTGGGGGTGCTCCTGGCTGACCCCAGCACAGCCCTTCTCCCACCACCCCGGCACCTCCGCTGCTTCCTGCACACCTCAGTGCCAGGGCTAGGGCTGGCTTCGTCTCACAGTTTGGGGAAACCCAAAAGAAAGAAGATTAGCAGCGATTCAAAATGTATGCAAATGATAACTGTTAACACAGAATAGAAAAAACAAAGAGAAGAAGGACACATAAAATCACAATTAAGATTTTTTCAATAAGCACTAATAGAGAAACTAGGACAAAAAGCCTTTTAGTTTAGTTAATTTCAACAACTCATTTTCAGGAAGGGTTTAGACATCTGTAGAACAGGAACCTGTGTGTGAACATAAGTTCAAAGACAGAGGAATGTATTCAGGGCATTACACTCCTTATTATGTAAATAATATATACCAGTTCAACATCCGTGAGGTGACTGGATAGGATCATCATTCCTCAACTCAGTCTATGAAAGGTATCCATGATCTTACTGGTGACATGATGCTCCAGACATTTCTTGTACCCCTTTGCCCATGGTAAACCCCAGCACACCTCGGTACAAGACCTCCCCTATTTCCAGATCCAGCAGCCTCTTGCCCTAAGTGAAGCTAAGCTGACCTGTCCTACCTGTTCCAGTCATTAACACATAATAACAACAACACCACATAGTAACACAACTCATCTTCCATGCCACCTCCAGCAGGCATCAGCCATTCTCTTTTCTGCGCTGTACCAAGCATTCTGCTGTCCCCACGAGAAGGGCTGGGACGGTAGATCTACAGGGGTTAGTGCTCTCACAGTTTCTCTTTGCTGTACTTTTACTCCTTCATTTCCACTTTTTTTTTCCTCCATTCCACATGCAGGTACTAGAAGAGAAAGACAAGTTGGGACACAGCAATGACGACATACCCTGATGTACTTCCAAATCAGAAACCAAAAGAAAAGCCAGAGCAGGGCCCGGTGCCTTGTACCACCTCAGGGCTGTCTGGGGAGCCCCCTCACTCCCAACACCTACCTGACTTCTTGCCAATCGCTACAACAAGCAGAAAGAGAAAAGCTACAAAATTCACTAAAAATTATTCCTTCCAGCAAAACAAAGACAGTGTTTACCTTGAAAATCAAATTTTTGAAAAGACTTTGTGATGACGGAAGCATACAACAGTGCTGCCCCTTGTAATTCACTGACAAAACAGCATATTGTTTCTAAAATTTAAAATACAGCTGGAAAAATAGGGAATGGAACCTTTAAAAAAAAGATGCAAAAATTAAGAAAATCTTAAGAATTTTGATAACTTAAGAAAATGTTAATTACATGTTAATTATGAAGCTATTGAAATTGTACCTCGATAGTCTGTTGATTTTACAACTAAATCCGTAAAGTTCCTGCAAAGGCCTGAGACCTTATCCTACCTCCCAAAATATCGGTAATTTCTTACAGTGAAATTTACTTATGGAATCATCTCACATAAGAAAAGCTTCATAAAATGTCAATAAAAATAACTTCTGTATCATTCCCTGAACTACATTGAATTCAAGCCTCTTTTGAGATTCCAGATGAAATGGCAGTCAAAATACCACGCTCTTTGTATGAGTGACTTTGTGCAGAAAAGCCTTTAACTGCCATGCTTCAGAATAAGACATCTTCCAAACAGTGCTTATATTTCCTAATTCCCAACCTATAAGCCCATCTTTTCTTTATATCCACCATTGTTTACACATGAAGGATGTGAAGCAAGGATGGCTATAACCATATTTCTTAGAATGCTTTTATTTCTTATTGTTTGGAATACTTATGTCTATGAAATAAAACTTTCTCATTTCAGTTATTTCCTCTCTCTATTTCACATTGCCCGAAGGCTTTCTCATAACCTCTAATCAGGGGCCAGTGGATATTTCCAAAATTCCACATTCAAATATACAGGGAAAAAAAATCTTATCTGCAGTCCAACAGAGCAAACACAGCATTGGTATTTGAGATTTCACGTCATTTTACCCATTCTCAGGTTTGAAAGTGCTTGATGTACCCTGCCTAGGTCACCAGCGAGGTAGATGCGGACATCCCTTTACACGGACCTGCCACAAAACATTCCCCAGCCAAGCAGCCACAGGATGAGGTCCGCAGCCCTGTTCGAGGATCTGAGATGTGAGATACTCAAATGGAACATGAGTGCTGACCTCAAACAGCTGCGGTTCCACCTGTGCATGGGCAGAGGACGGTCCTATAGAGACAGTACACACAGGCTGAGAGAAGTGGAAAGTTTGCACAACCCAAATATTTACCCATCAAACGAACTGCTGGTGGTTGGGTCAGCGCAGCCCCACCACCTCTGCCCCTCCTCGGGGGTCCAGAGCCCCCTGCCACTACAGACACAGCGCGAGCAAAGGCAAACAAGCAGAACAAGCTGGAACAAAAAGAAAAACAGCAGCAGAGTTTATCCTAACCCACGCAGCAAACTGTCATCAAAGACAGTCTGCCCCTCTCTCTGCACCTCTGCTTCCAGGGAGAACCACAAAAGTGTCACAGTCGCACTCCAACCGAGACAACTTATACGTTATCCACACCAGTCAAAGCTTCACCAAACTCTCATACAGAAGATGAATGCAGACACCAGATGTAGACCTTCTGCCCTAATCTGTTATTTTATAACTTTAAATCCAGCATGTAAAAACAGCAACAACACATCAGCCAAGAACAAATACCAGGAAATCACATACACAATAAAGTTTTGTAACTCAATGCGCACAGACAAAAAATTTCTCTGTGCCTTTGTATAGAGGTTTACGTGAAAAAGTTCACCAACAATATCTACAATAAGCCAATTAAAGGCAAAAGGTAAAACTAATACTGACTTAAACTGAAACAAGATTTCTCTGAAAGTGCATGGCTTGCAAACACAGAAGTACGGCTTTCTCAGCTTTTGAACATGAAATGACAGTCTCAAATATTAGAGATAAATTTAAGGATAAATAAAACACATTTAATAAGGATAATACCGTGAGTTACCTGGGTCAGACTTCATAACTGAGCAGGAGATTGCACTAAAGACCTCCTGAGGCCCCTTCCAATCTGAACTTTTCTGATTCCTATGAGAAGCGAGAGCATTCTGTGTATTTTTAAGGAAAGAGAAACATCTCTTGAAACTGACTTTTGGACAATTAGTTGCAATTTTGCTAACTATGTGATTTACCATTAGTTTAACTGAGAGATTGTGCTCTGCCAAGAATATATATTTAATCTATAAGATAAATTGCAGAAAAAAGAATAAAATCAGGTGACCAAGTAAGTAGAGACATCTTCAGCTAGCAAAGAAACTCAATAGATGCAGTATGCAAACGTAGCCATGACCAAGAAGAATGCACTCAAAAATAAAATAAAATCAATCCAAAATTAGGCAGCTTTTCAAATGTCAGCTCTGGGGACTTACAGCAACAAGAAATAATGAGTCTTCATCTGGAGACAGGAAGGCTTCAGCAGCTTCAGCTTCTTTTTTGCAGGTAGCACTTTCAGCCAAGTGCTTCTTTGCAGAATTGCCGATACAGCCAAATTCGACAGTCATGGAAACCACCACCAAGAACACAATAAGCCACGAGAGCTTCTGCTCCTGACCTGCTTGACATGGCATGAAGACGTACTTCTTTGGACAAAGCGAGTAAAAGATATTTGTGTGCCATGAAGAGAGACAGGGAAATTCCAGGTAGTGGAGGACTTGATTGTCATTCTTCTGCTCAGGCAGTTTCACCCACCTGCAAGTCACTTATTTTGCTCTGCTATGATTTATTTTCTGCTTTTAGCAAGTGTTGTGAATTGTTGTAGTAACAACTTAATCAAATTTCTGTAAGTATGGATAGTTCTGTGCTTGGGTTTTTCCCCTGCAGGGACTATCACTGCAACAGACATGTGCTGACGTGAGAACCCATCCCATTCCAGGGTGCCTAACTGGCCATCCTGGAGTCCCACCAGTAAACATTTGCTCCCAGTAAGATACGTTACACAGAAACGTGGCAGACAAAGACAAGAAGGCAAACATCTAAAGAGAAAACATGATAACACATGTAAAGATTTTGGTTTTGTCCTCTTGCACAAGCTCTCTGCAGTGACACACATACTGACGTCACTCCAGCCTTCCCGGGCACCATGCAGACACTCCATCTGGAACAGCCAAGCCTCCTTTTCCTACCGCTGCTTCCAACTGCCGTGCCAGAACAGCACAGCTTTTAGTGGCCCTTCTTGCAAACATGTTAGCACGGGTAGTCCCACAGGAGCAAGAGACCATTTACCCATCAGCATTTCAACGACAAAGCAATAAGAATCTGTGATATTCTCCGACTTAGTTTTTCCAGAAATAATTCTGCAGTCTTAACAAATACACCACAGGTGAGTTGGACTCTAGGCATGCCAGGCTTCAATATAAAAACTAAACAGAAGAAGAAGTAAAGTTCTAATGAAACAGCCTCCTGGGTTTTTGCCATATTATTTAAATAAAAAGCTCAACACAAATGCATTTGTGACACAGCTTGATTTGCTACACTCGTTACATTCACCGCAGTGGGTTTCTGATTTTCTATTAAGTTGAAGTTCAGACTTATGCATCAAAGCCATTTCCCAAGCAGTCACCAAATAAGTACTGAGACTAACGCAACAGACCCCTCCGATACCCCGAAGCGGTTAATGTCACCACTGTGCTTCAGGCCCACCGTTGAGGTCCCTGTGCTGCAAAGTGCAGTGTGCTGCCTTGCGGACGATGTACCGTCGGCTCATTTGCTGCATTGCAGTATATTAACTGCAGCACTGGAAGCTTTCAGCACCTTTGCCACTTACAGATTTGTGCTTTTTAGCAAAGAGTCAGAAATCCAGCAGTGCCTCTGCGCTGATTTGTTGTGACACAGACGGTCACAGACACTCATTGTGTATGCTTTTTTTCTTTAGACATGTAATGAATTAACATAACTGGTGTGTAAGAGCAGGCAGCTTTAAAGCTAAAATGGACAGTAGCAAGACTCAACGAACCGTTTGCTCATCTCTGCACTAATACTTTACAAGAATACAAGGCAGTGAGATGAGCTGAAGATTTCAAAGGCAATTGTACACATTTACATATGTAAAAATGTATAAAAGTTTCTCATACTTTCTCTTTCTCCTGAGCTCTGCGAATCGTTTCCTGTTCTCTCTGTAGCCTTTCTTTCTCATCTTCCTTTTCCTTTTTTCTGGCAGCTATGGCAGCTTTTAGTTTTTCACACTCCTTCCTTTTTTTTCACTGCAGAACCTGGAAGAAACAGTCAAAAAGACAGTCCTGGAGCAGGCTTGTGTGGTACTGTGATCCTGCCAGACCGAGACTGGGAAGGAAACCCATGTAATCCACTTACAAGCTAAGATCTGTAATCTTGAGAGCAACACATAATCGTTTAGTGAGCACCACCCTTCCATGTGATGATGTGCAATTCCCAACTGACTGGCACAGTATGCAATAAAATCCCCTATAAAAAAATTTTAAGCAAAATTTCCAAAACCGTCTCAGCAATATCAGATCTTAAATCCCCCTTCAGTGCTCACACTCCCAATAACGTGTAAACGTATTGATGAGCCTACAAATGGAGACTGCCAATGCTAACGGAGCAGAGCCTGCTGGCATCCCTCAGCCCCGGCATTTCCCTAACAGCCCTCGCTTCCAACCAGCGCTCTGCGGGACTCAACCACCTCCAGTGACAGACACGTCACCTTCTGCCAGCTTTCAAACTGTGCAAAGTGAGCCTAGGATCCCTGCCGCCTGCTCAGGGGCTGTGACTGGTGCCTAGGACGGTGCTGTACCCGACATCCTGCTCCGTGGGCACAGAGCCACCAGCTGCAACCCTACCCGGAGCTCCCACACCACCAGCAAAGCGCAGGAGGAGCACAGCAGGGACCAGCTCCCAGCAACCCTCATCATGGGCATGGTCACCTTCTTAACAAACACATCAGGGATGGGATGGACCATTCACCCCAACGTGCCAGAAATCCCCTCTTGCCATATTCCCGACACAGCGTATGGGTTAGACAAGACAGCCCGTCCTCAGGACGCGGTCACGGGCGGCGAGTTGTTCTCAGGGCTCCCGAGAACACTGTTCTCAGCCCGTGCGGGTCCCGGTCTCCTGGGGATTGGCAAGAGCAGCTGTACACTCATCTTTTTAGGATAACTGATGTCTCCTTTTTGTTGGCTTGTCAGCTCTTCTGGCACTGGGTTTGTCAAGTGCTAACAGAACTCTGTTCCTCTAAGGAATCAGCCTTTCAGCCACTTTTCCTCTGGTTTTATATACTACAGCAAGTACATTACTACTAATATAGGATTTTTTTTTTTCCACCTTTACTGCATTTCACTAGGTGTGTGCACAGACTCATTCCTTTTGTCTCCTACAGCCTGCGTTTAACAGTTCAATGCCGTTTGCTACCATACCCAAGCATAAGCATTAACTGGTGTGTTTTCACGTTGTAATAAAAACCACTGAGTTTCGGGGTTCTTCAAGCAGCTTTCATTTACACTGTGACTCTCTCAGAGTACATACAACTTTTCCCAGCTTCAACTCCAGCCCCAAAGTTAAGAATTACGATTTAGCTGAGCATTAAACTCTTTTTAACCTCTTTTCTTCCATTTTTGTACCTATTTCTCACTGGAGCCCTGTTCATAACTGTGTTTCACCTTCTGAAATCTCTTTTCTCCTTTCTAGAAAAAAAAAAGTTAGGAAACAGCCATCTTCACCAATTTGATGTTTTACAGGAAGAGAGCAAAGGCTCGGGTCAAAAATTATCCTTGCAACTAGGAAAATGTAGGCAGCCAGGAGAACCAAGGCACACGATCCTCAAAACCCAAACCCCGCTCCTTCCCTGCTCTCCTCCTCACTCGGAAAACGCTGCTGATTATTTTATGGGGCAGTGTAGGAGGAACAGGGATAAGTTTGTCCGTGCCAGCAAGTATTAATGGCACTGAATGAATGTCAAAAAACGTAGTGGGATGGTTTGCAAGGAGGGAACAGAAACGTGTGCACATGGGAACTGCAGCTGGGTGTGGACACTTGGAAATAGGCAGGAGGGATCAGTACACACAGACGCTGCACCTGTCCGTGTGTATTTGAGTGTAATGTAACGGCAGACAGCACAGAATCAGCTGTTTTTCTTTTAGATATTCTTAGAAAATTCTTTCAAACTGGAATTCAGACTTGTACACCATGGAAAGAAAAATTAAAACTGTTGCTGCAGTGTTCCTTAGAACAGATGTTACTCTTCAAATATGACCTTTCTCACCAGAATTTTGAAAATGTTCCCTTCACAGGATCTCATGTATATAATAATAATAATAACAAAACTGTTAATGAAAGACATACTTGGTAGAGCTTCTTTGGCGGTGGTAAAACTATACCTCCATTCCTAAGAAGCAAAAACCACACCCGCCCTTCAGCCCCTGAAATCCCTTAACCTGCCAGTCCCAGGAACGGGCAGTTTCTGCGGGAACTGGGGAGCACACCGAGCACTTGGGGGACTCACAGGACACCTGTTCTCTGCCCAATTTTCTGTTAATTATAAGCCACATATTAACATAAATAGCCCTTAGACTTAAGAACTGTAGTATAAATAGTTCTAAACATCTGCATTAAAAAAAAAAATCTCATTTTTTCATAAAAAATAACTAAATATGCCTGGTCCCACTTGAACATATACTGTGTATGAATCTTTACCTTAATTTCCTCAAAATAGGTTATTAAAAGAAGTACTGTGCAAAAATTTTTGCTAACTAGTAGGTTTCCCCCCACAGCAATATCACACTTTTGGTCATCCCAAACACAGTAATGAATTCAAGCAGTATGTTCCAAATAGCTTCCAAATTTGTATTTAATGACGCAATTAATCAAGACTGCCCCATCACAGCACAAATACCTTGGGCCCTCTCACCCAGGCTGTGGGAGATCCCCAGGCAGCTCTTTATTCTGTGAAAAGGAATACGAAGCCATGTCTGCGGCTACAATCGTTCCAGGGTGCAGAAGGTGGAATCGGAGCAGCTGGGGCTGGCAGGGACCTCTCCAGACCATGGAGGCTGCCCGCCCGCCTCGAGCGGGACCAGCTGGAATGTGTGTCCCTCTTAACGAACACAGCCAATTACCATTTCAAACACCCAGCTGAACAGAAACACAGAACAATCATAAAAACAGAACGAGGGTTACAGGAGATGACCATCCCAGCAGCTCAGAGGCTTCTCGATTTTTACAGGACATTTACATCTCCTGGAGCTTGGCTGTAACACCTGAACGAAGCCGCTCCCACACCCTGACACTGGTAACAGAAGGTCTTTGTCTAAACAGACATTTTTTATTCAGCAATTCTGACAGCAGCCTGCTCATGCATTTCAGCAGTTTAGGAATCTAAATGCTGAATTGTTTCAGTTACCCTTCACTTGCTACACTAATAAACATAAGGAGGAATGTTTTGAAAATGGATGTGGAAGAACATGCAATCATTTCCACCCCACTGTTGGACCAGGCTGAAGCCAAAACGTATGCACCAAGCCTTTCGATTCAGGTCAGATCAGCACTGGGGCACAATCTGGATTTTCACCAGGTTTCATACAAACGAGGGAGCATAAGCAAGCACCAAACATACAACTTCACCCAGCTGCCACAGCGTTATCCATGCAGCGAGGCTCCCCGGGCAGAACTGCTGTGCCAACAACACAGTGCCTATCTCCACCACCTCCTGCAACGCTGCCTGCACCGCCCTAAGCCACGCCTAAGCACACCCATCTACTCAGCAGATGGAATCTGCTGTCCGTTCTTATCTAGCTAGGTTTTTTCGAATGCATAAGCCCATTGCCAATCAAGAAAATGGGTAATAGGAATGACAGAAGGAAGGGAAGTTTCATTGTATTATACTTTCCCACAACACCCATTTATCCTTTTCCGTAGGCAGCACATGAAGGTAGTTCCCATTATCCCTGCCCCTCCACGTTCCTCTAACCCATGCCCTTTCACTAAGGCAAAGGAGGAGTCACTTCCTTTAAAAAAATGATTCAGAATTGCAACAAAAAAGGAAAAATTGGTACAACACAGAAAAGCACTGTTTGCAAAATATTTATAAAATGAGATTCAGTGGGTTGGCATTATGCCGTGTCTTCCCCACACAAAGAGTTAAAGCCATACAGGATAAAATGTTCTTAACAGAGCTGAGCTTAATTGAAGTGTTTTATTATGTAAGAAACAACAAAAATTGGGAGTTAAACAGCTGATTCAAATGTCAATACATTTCCCTTGTTAAAGCACATTTAGCACGGAAACATCTTCCTAGTCCCACAGCCTCAGCAGATTTTGTGGGCCAGCCCCTGCCTGTACGGGGAACTTCTCCGGGGAGCACCGTCCGCAGAGGATGGCAGGGGCCAGAAGGGAAAGATTCCCAAACCAGTCCCCTGTCCCTACTGTCACAGGAGCAAAAGCTAGGAGCTAGACTATCTGAACTCGTGATAGCAAAGGATAGGGTGGGCTGCCTCTAACGGAAACCCAGCCTGTGTCTGTACTGACCCACAAACTACTCTGCCCTGAGTGCTGGTACAACACATGGTACCGCGAAAACCCAATCCTAGCCGAGAGCCCATGGGCACTGCTGCAAAAAAACCAACAGCAACGGGCAGGCAGTGGAACTGAGCAGAATAGTTGAGGAATCTCTGCAGCATGCATTTCCAAACTTTTAATATTTTGCTGTTTAAAGCAACTGCCTGATGCTGAATTTCCAGCACTCCTACAATTTAAGCTTTTCAAGAAAACCCACTGTATTCATCAGGTTTTTCCTCCAGAGGTAGATGCATGCAGATCAGAATAATAAAAAAAAATTCTGAACAATAATTCTGATTCACTAGGGCAATAATCTGGGACCACAGAAAGCACAGAAAGTTAATGTGTTCTTGATTGCATTCTTTCGTTCCTACAAGTGCCAAATCAGAAGGGTAGGGTTTACTGTGTCAACAGTAAAGTGTTCTGTTTCAATATTTTAAAAATCCTAATAGTCCAACTAATATTGAGAATACACTGAAAACTGGATCTCCTATTGCCTGTTTCACAAAGCAGCTTACATTTTAGCATACAAGCGCTGCCAACATTAAGTTCTGAAAGTTTTTAATTACAACTGGCATTTCAAGTACATTTCACAGCTCATGTATTATTAGAGGCGCTTTTACCAAGTGAATTATTAAATCTCTGTGCTAAACAGAATGAGTATATACCCATTTTCAGCTCATTATTTCAATATTGCATA